GCGAGAGAGATAAAGCGACCGCATAATGGATGTGACTTGGTGTGCCCCCCTCGGCCTCACCGCCCCCTTCTCCAGCCGGCTTTGGCGAGATATCGATTGGCCGAAATGGCGAAGCACGCGCACGCCGGGACAACGGTTTTTTTCTCCGCCGAGGTCCAAGGACTCGACTCTGTGCTCGCGACTTGATCGACCGTGTCCGTGGAACGCGTTTTCGGCGAAGAAAAGCGCGCGGTCTGCCACGAGATAGCCCCGGGCGAGACGATCATTGCCGTTCGTCTGACTTTACGGATCTCGCTTGTCGCGGTGAAACTGAGCCTCTCGCGGACTTTTCCCTTTGTATTGCTCGGCCGAAATCAAATCGAGATTATTGCGTTTGCCGAGTTTCGTCGAATTTCGAGAGAAGGAAAAAATAAGCAAACATATAAATAAAAATCACAAAGCTCCGTAACGTTCGGTGATACTCCTGCTTTTTAAGGGCGCGTGCCGTTCTTTCGACTGCGCGCTTTATTGAAACTATCGCGGGACGAGCGACGATCTCCAGTTAAAAGTCCCGATCCACCTGCGCGCAGGCAGAAAATAAAATAGAAACGGTCGGCGCTGTACGCGGCGAGAGAGTTGAACCACCTCTCTCTCTCTCGCTCGCTCGCTCTTATTGTCCTCGGGAAACAAAACGCGTGGCACAAAAGGTTCCTCCGAAGGAAAACCAGCAGTCGATGTATACATTTATTTCGATATACAGGGAAGCCTCTGCCCCCTGCCCCGCGACAACGACCGATGAGATCGCGTGAATCAGCGCGCGCTTCCGTCCCGTCACCTAAAAATACTCGAAACGCGACGTCGACGACGACAGAGAGACAAAACGAAAAGTTTAGCGCCCGTGCGGAATTCCAGCGCACTCGTCGCGCATTGTTCTGCAGCGGCGCTTCCCCCGTCCCGTTCCATCTCTCTGGCGCTCTCATAACGTCACTCGGGCCTTTGTACACATCTGCGTAACCAAAGTTGCATTTTAGCGACATCCGCGGCTTTAAGTGACGAGCTGCTAATGGAAAATTGATTTTCCTTTGTCTCGGCCGCCTCGTCTCGGCGTACGCGCGATGGGACGTTTGCTAAATTTGCCCGCTCCGTCTCTCTCTCTCTCTCTCTCGGCCGCGCGCGCTTCATCGGGAAAACCATACGCAGCTGGCCGAACGAGCGAGCGAGCGAGCGCAACGCTTCTGCCGCGGGAAGTACATTCAGTCACTTCGGCTGCGAGGGGCGATCGCGCAATGAGTATCAAAAATTCTTGCGACAAGCCGTTCGCGAAGCTTAGCGCGGGCGACGACGCCGCGACAAATTGCGTTTGCCGATGGGTCTGTCGCCGCGTTCGCACGTCGAGTGCGCCCCGACGAGCGAGCGCGGTTTCGGTTTGGCGTCCAGCGGCGGCGTATCGAACCTCACGCGGCCGACGCGCGAATCGTCATTCGCGTCGCGTCCAAATTTCGTCGCGCGCGCCGTGCTTTCGTAGGATGCATCTCTTCGGCGGGTACAAGCTTCTGTCGCTGCCAGGCATATTAAGTGCCCGCAACAATGAAGCCACTTCGCTCACAAAGCGTTGCCCTTTCAATGTTTTCCTCTTCTTCGTCTTCTTCTTCTTCTTCTTCTTCTTCTTCTATTGTGTGCGCACAGCCGGCCTGAGAACGAAATTTTTCGTTTGGGAATCTCTCCGCCGCGTTCTCCTTTTTTTTTATCTTCGTTCTCGCACCCGGGAATGCGCGAAATCGCGCAACAGGGATGAGTAATTAGCCGAGAATTCTTTTTGTCGCGGTCGTAAGGTCCCTTTGTCACATTTGCAAACCATCCCTTTACGAGACAATCACGAACTACTGCAACTTTGATTCGTCACTTTTGAGTGAATGGCTTGACTGCTTTGTGTGGATGGGAGGACGAACACGAGTCATTCCTCTTTAATTACGTATTAGTAGATTTTCTCAATTGTGATGTTTGGGCGCGATGTCACTGTGTATGCATCTCAAAAATGACATTTAGAGATAAGCAAATATTTTAACTTTGATTAGCAATTGTTAGTATCAGTAACACGAGTACAATTTAATGCAATACAATCGATGATGTTATATAATACGGGTACAATTTAATACAATACAATCGATGATGTCAATATTTTATCTTGTTTTCATTTCGTACAGTAGGTGCAATATCGACATCTTTATATATTTCTCAGAACTATAAAGAAACAGATAAATGGAACTTAAATTTAAAAATAATTGTATATAATTGCTTTCTATCTTAATAACGAAGATTGAGACGATTTCTTTATTAAAGTCACTCTGAAAATCATTAAATCGCTGCTACAACTAATTCAACATGGAATGCAGTTGTAACAACACTCGATCGCGGTAAGTTACTTAATTCATACAAACGAAGCATAAAGAAAAAAAAATATATGTATAAGTGTGTGTGTGTGTGTGTGTGTATAACAAGAAGTCCAACAATGCAGGCACGAGCGTAAACGATGACTTATTAAGATAAGCGCACGTTCGGCCGACTTGCATAACATTTTATCTGATACTCTTATTTGTTTTTTTTTTTTTTTTTTTTTTTTTTTCTGCGCTCTGTCATTCCAGCCAAGCAGTGACAACTAATATTCGCGACGATTAAGTTGCCGTGCGCTCGCTCGCGTTTTATCTTAATTAGATTCGACGCCGCGCTCTCGCGTCGCCCAATTCGTTTTGGCCGTAGGTCGAGCTGCGCGGCTCGCGCTGAAATCCGCCTGCAATGTTTGAACGTTGCGCCACGGTATTATCGATTATATTTCGTCGCGCGAAATTAATTCGCCGGCGGAGGGGTATTCCCACGGAGCGGTAGGAAAATGGAAACGGACGGCGATGGTATGTGGGTCAGGTTCGTAATGGCGATCGCCGTCAAATAGAAAGCGAACTAGCTGTTTCGATCGAGAGCTTTTCTTTCTGGGAAGCGGAAAGTAACGTCTGTCGTTCGCCTTTTATCGCGCGCGCGCGCAGATAATCTCGAGACTGCGGTCGGCAAGAAAACTTTGTGCAACGTTTCGTGGATTTCCTTTTTCCCCGTTTGTGAAATATCTTCCCCGAAACGTTTCCGAGGTGCGTCGGCGATCAGTGTACGCTCGTTTCTGTCGCACGAACGACTCGCTTGCAAAGTATGCGTATGCGTAAATTCCGTTGTAACTTTGTTGAGATATCGAATCGTCTACCATTACGAAGAGCCAAGGAAGAATACGCGAAGAAAAGAAACACGACTTCTCGGCGCGCCACTCGAAAGCCCACTTTCTAAACGGCGACTAACCTTTCGCCTTCCGTACACGGACCGTAGGTTAGCGCGCGGCGGTGAGATTGGCTCGCGATCGACATCGCAGCTCGAAGAGCGGCGGCCCGGCGGTTCTCGTTCCCTTCGAAAGGGCGCGAGAGTCGCTCGCGTAAGCGAGTCGCGGCGCTGCGTTACGCGCACAAGCGATTCGTCTTTCTCCTTTTGGATTAGTATTTCCGTTGCGCGTCTCGCGCCTCTGACGCAACGAGGCTCGCCTTTCCCCGAGATGTCTCAAGGGGGAGCTGCAAATTGATACGCGCGATGCCGGTAGAATCGAATTTGCAATTTGGAGCGGGGGACGCGGCTGAATTTTCCCGAGGACGACTGATTGGCGCGAGCGCGAGCTTGGGGGCCTATTCGAGCTCCATCGGATTTTCACGTCTTCGGTATTATCTCGCCCGCGAGGCTGACGAACCTCCGCGCTCTCGATTTCTGTCGGGGCTACGCGTCCTTCGCGAATCTGCTCGTTAGCGTTTCGCTCTACGGGAATCCGATTATTCCCTTCGCTCGCCTCGGCGTCTACGGTTCTGCGTCTCGCCGAATGGGAATGTTTCCGACAAGTTGCGCGGCCCTCGAAGCAGCAACGTCGGTTGCCGAATCAGAGCGCGGCCGTTCCTCGCGCTCGCGAGCGTCGTCCTTCGCACGCATACCCGGCGGTGATCACGGAGCGTGAAATTCGTACACCTGCGCGCCGGTTATCTGCGTAGCGGCCCGCATGGCAGGCTTCTCCCACGGCCTTCTTCCTCTCTCTCTCTCTCCGTCTCCTCGCGCGATAAAGCGCTTCGCCTCCGCGATAATGCCGCGCGCGCGCGCGCTCGCTCGGGCAGTCGACGCGCCGACATGAGATCGGAGGCTCGCATCGAGTACCGGGCCAAGCGCGAGAGTACGTAAGGGGATTCTCGCGAGGTCTCCCACGCCGAGCCCCTGTGCCCGTATCTCGCGTCTCGTCGGCGCGAAGCGCGCCGTTCCTCCGCCAACGCGACGGGCCGCGCCAGCGGGATGTGGCAGCTATCGGGCGACGGAATCCCGGCGTCTCGACCTCGTTCGATAATCCTTGCAACGCACTCTCGCGTCGAACGAGTCGAGCCGCGCGCGGGCTTCAGCGAAAACTTCTGACACGTTGGGATTAATTTCCGGATCTCTGCCGGCGGCGTAACTGGGCCAAAACTTGGTCTGCACGCGGGACGAGCGCGTAGAGTCGAGAGCGAGAGTGAGAAAAAATAAGGCTCGTAGTTATCGGCTCTCGCAAACTTCGTTCCAAGACGGCAAGAAAGAAAAGTATTTTTTTCTCGAGGACTTTATCTGCGTGATAACGAGCGCGAAGCTTTCCCCTTCCTCTCTCTTTGTTAGTTTTCTGATTAAAAAGGGAAAGAGAGAGAGAGAGAGAGAGAAATCATTCTTGATGCGTATTAACTGGCCACGTCCGCTCGGTCAATAGACGCAACCCAGTGAGGGAGCTCGTTGCGCGAATGTCTTCGCAGCCGCATCCTTCGACTTTGCCTCCGAGCGCTCAAGTCGTCGGGGCGCTCGGTGCGGACAGTCCGCGCTTGGCCGCGAACGGGCGACACGACGTCGCTTTCTCGCCGACGCGAGGGCGAGCGTTCGACCCGCGCGAGCCCCCAGTCGGCCGAGCATTAACGTCAGCCCTTTGAAATTCGCAGAGGCAGCGGCGGCGGCGACGGCAGCGTCGAACAGCACCGCGAGCGGCGGCGATGCGGCGGCGAGTAACGACGAGAAGGCCGGCCCCAAGCAGCACAACGCTCGCGGAGAAGAGCAGCAGCAGCAGCAGCAGCAGCAGCAGCAGGCCAACGGCGCGCAACCCACGATCGATCATGCCCAGCAGACGACACCAGGTAAGTCTATGTTTGCAGCACGATCTTTTGCCTCCGCGCGTCGTCCCGTAACGCGACGATTTTCGCGTATCTACGGCACTGGCCGATCGGTTTTCGCGTTTCCCGCGAGCCAGTCGATAACCGCGGACACTACGCTTATCGGACCTACCGAGGGGGTCGAGTAAGGCAAGAGTCCTTCGTTTCTCGTGGAACACTCTTGCGTGCCAGTGTGTTTCCTTTATTTTTCTGTTTTTTCGTGAAAAGGAATTGTACGATCATCCGACACTGCCAGATCATTAGATTTTAGTAGCACGCGTCGATCGATCATAATAAGGAAACCGTTCTGCTTCATAAGGTGCTTTGTTCCACGGTGAACTAGAGCTGAGCTATTTAACGCACGATCTCGTGCGCAAAACTTGTCTCAAAACGATAGTAACGCGCGTCGCCCACGGGGAAGCTACGGTTTAGAGAAACTGGAGATGAACGCTGACAATCGCGTTTTTAATCGTCGCTCGGGGGGCGCGAGGCAAGGCACGAAGACAGATGCTGCAGCGGGCGCAAGAAAGCGATAGAGAGAGAGAGAGAGAGAGAGAGAGGGGAGGGGGAATTGGATCTTCTCTTGTCTGCTGTCGCGCGGTCGTCGCACAAAGGGTGGCAATCAAGGCCTGCGTATCCAGCCCCCGCGCGCTCACGGCGTCGCCTCCTTAGCGCGAATTCATACGGGTTTCCAGACGCGCTTGCGCTCGACGCCCCGGACACTTAGTCCGGGGGAACGACGGGCCAGCTCCGATCAACGTCCATTCGTCGCCTTCGATTACCGTCGGTCGTTCGTCGGACACATCGCGGCGATGCGTTAAAGCGTTTTCCGCGCAGACGAATGTAGGGCGTCCCGGACGATCCATTCGTCCGAAATCGATCGCGCCGCCGTGCTCCTGTCCCTCTTATTTTTACGTTTCGTTGCCTCCGCAGTGACTGCAAACGGTATATCTGACGTAGCGCTGAACGGTCGCCATTGGAAACGGATCTATCGTTAGATTTTACGATTGAATTCATAATCCCAGCCTTATCTAATCCCGATCCGCACTGTATCTTACTTCCGCGCGTGAATGCGTCAAAAAAAGAACTGTCCGACGATCGCGTGATCCGCGAGCGCCGTTTGTCGATCATGCGTCGTTGGTTGGCCGACAGCGAGGAAAATTACGCAACGCGTTTGGCCGAGGTCCCGTGCACGCTTTTTTAAAGCGGAATAAAATGAATAAAAATCATGCAGCCAAATCAATCCGATTGTTTGTCACCAATTCCAGATGTTCAGCAGCGATACCTCGTGGAGACGATAACAATGACGACGGTGACCGAGCGTCGCATCGTTCGCGAGATCTCCGAAGAGGAAAGTCGACCAGCCAACAATAACGCGTCAATCGACGAAGCAGATCACCCAGCGATCGACGCCTCTCAAAATGACACTCCGAAGAACGGCGAATTAAAGTCCGACGGTGAGAAGCCCGCCGAGTTGAGCCTGGCGTTCAAGCTGGCATCGAATAGCTTGAAGCCCAACTCGGCGGTGCGACAATTATTCCCAGATCCGCGTTTCATCTCACCGCCACCTGCACCGGTGAAAAGCGTATCATTCGATTTGGACGATTCCGGTATGGACAACGGGGAAGGCCAAAAATTGTCGAATGGTTTGAGGATGTTGGATGCGGCGGGCGACGCGTCGATCAAACGAACCATCGAGAGAAATGCCTTGAGAAGGAGCCTCTGCAAGTACGACACTGGTAGTTTGAAGAAAAAGAGCTTGAAGAGTAAGGATCTGTCGCTCGAGGAGAGAATACGACAACTGACGTGCGTCGACGATGAAGAGGACGCCGCCGATACGAGCACATCCGAGAATAATAATTCCGGCAAAGTCATCACCAATCACCATCACAATAACAACAACAGTCTTGGAATTAATGGACTGATGTCGGGAAAAACGCTGGACGAAGGCGAGGATCGTCTACTGATGCCGATGCACCAGCTACCAGCCAGGACTTCGCCTTCGGGCGAAGAACGACCAAAGGGTCACGTTGTCCAGTCGCATCATCATCATCACAACTCGGCGTACAAGAAGATCACCGAGCTGTTCGGCCCGAAGAAGAACGCCTCTAACGTGGAACTGAACCTTCCGGACATCGGCCTGGGTGCCAAACAAGCCATGGCTATGAAGTCAAGTCAGAAACTGAGTTCCGAGGCGAGGAAGCAGTTCCTTGCGAGCTTAGCTCCACTTTCGTGCGTCGCGTCGAGCGGAGTCGACGGAAGGGATGATTACTACAGAATGCCCTCGAAAGCCGGCGACAGGAACTCCGTGGGTTACAATTCCGACTCTTCGTACAGTTTGGAAGACATCGAAGATGCCCTGCAAGAAGGCATAGCTGCACCACCCGACGTGACCAGAGGCACGCCAACGTCGGTGGGCCCGTCGCTCGACTCGTTTGGCCAGGACGCCAGCGACGAATTATTGGCGTTCGTCGAGCAAGAGAAGACGAGAACCGAGCGCATCAAGAGGCGGTACGACGTCGACGAGAAGAGGAGCGACAACAACGACAGCTCGAAGAATTCCATCGCAGCCGAGGAGGAGGAGGACGAGGATGACGAGTTGAACGATTACGGATTCAACCGACGGCCGTCCGTGCGCGGTATCAAAGCCCAATTCGAGACGACCAACGAAATCGTCCGACAGCTTCGAACTCGCAGCGCAGCTGCGACTTCGCTACCAGAAGCATGTCGACTGAATTTCCCGTCGGCGCCGGCGACAGCGACGGCGATCGATGACGACGCGGCGTCCTCCTCCTCCGACATGTACCACCTGCCGTACGCTGCCGACCCGAGCACGGTGTCGCGCATCAACAGCATGCAAAAGCAAATCAACGAGATCTACCAGAGCATCACGGAGGGTGGCGTCAATCTTCTCGAGGCAGCGCGACCCGCGACCTCGTTGTCGTACCTCGAGAGTACGCTGCCGCGCGCGATGATACCGCAGGACCATCGGCACAACGGTACCTTGAGAATGCTGAGGATGACCGGCGGTGGCGATGGAACAACTGCGCCACTGGGCGTCTACAGCACGCTACCGAAGCCGCACAGGCATCCAGCTGGCTACTCCTACGTGCCAGCTGCTAATCCCGCGGTGGCCGCCGCTGCCGCGGTGGCCGGAGCCAAGTGTTATCGTACCATGTACTTCGTGCCGTATAACGGGATGACTGATCCAACTTATCAGAATATACAGAGGATACTCCCGCCGCACAATTCCAGCCCGACGAATTATGCCGATCACGTCGAGAGGTATCCTTATCTGAGAAACGGCAGGATCGAGCAAGGACAACCGCAGCCGAAATATTACGTCAGGCCCGCTTCGATACCCGTGAGTATCGTACGATTTTTTTATAAGGATTCACTTTTGGCTAACCTTACTCCGAACCTTACCTTTTTCGAGTCGCAAAAAACGAACGATGCCCTTTTCAATCGGAGATACTCTCGCGACTCGAACGACCCCACAGCTGAGAGCAAGTTTTACTGCGGAAATCATATTTCCTAATGCAATCATTTTTCTCTGCGCTCTCAAGGTCGAGAGTGCCAGAAAGTTCAAGCATTTTTATTCGAAGTAACTAGACTGTCATTTTCAACGCTCCGTCAAAAAACATCCGCCGGATAAACTAACCACCCGCCGCCACGTACACCAGCACAATGACACTAAAAATAACGCCACTCGAAAAGTCGTGGTTGGCGCACTCAAGGCGACTTGGTTCACATTCGCGACTGACTTGTTAGAATGTTAATTTTTCACTGTTGCATCGTGTGCACTCGACAGAACTCCCAGGTCGGAGCGCTTCACCTTCACCTCCACCAAACGGAAGAATTTCGACTGCAGCAGCATCCACAACAGCAGCAGCAGCAGCAGCAGCACCACCAACACCAGCAGCAGCAGCAGCAGCAACAGCAACAGCAGCAGCAGCAGCAGCAGCAGCAGCAGCAGATGTCACAACAAATACCAGTTGTTCCGCCACC